CCTAACAGGGAGCAAGACCCAGAGAACCTCAGGAACCGTCAGTGCTAAGCAGACAGAACATGGCCCAGAGTTCTGGCCTCGGGGTGGACGTGAGGGTAAAGGGGCTCATGCCTCTTCACCCCAGCACCTCGGAGACCACCCTGACTCCCTCCCCTCCCCCGCCTACTCCCATCCGCAGGCTCATTGGTTGGCCAGAGACTCTCAGACCATCCTGATGTGCGAAAAATTGGGTTCACAGGCTCCACAGAGGTGGGAAAGCACATCATGAAAAGGTAGGTGGTGGGGGTGTGTGGGAGAGGCCACCATGTGGCGCTGGTCCTGGCGTCTGGAACTGGACAGTGCTGTGCGTGAGCTCGATCCTGCTCCTCAGCCTCCATGTACGCGCAGTTCCCACAGGCCAGGCTAACGCGGGCTCTGATTTCAAGTGTGTGGCACACTCTTGGTATGGCCGGTGGTAGCTGCTCGTGGTGCTCACTTGGATGGGTGGGATGCTGGAGCTCAGGTGGCTGCGGAGCGCCTGGGATAGAGCTCTTTCCCTGGGTCAGTTCTGAAGCCCTTGACCCCACAACTCCACGAGCCTCTCTGTGCCCCTCAGCCCTGCACAGGCCCTCTGAGAGCCAGCCTGGGCCACGACCCCTTCTCAAGTGGGCACCATGCTTGTACCAATCACAATGGCCTTGTGTTACCGTCCACTTTTGGTTGAGGAGCCACAGCCAATTGGCTGGTGGGCCATGTCTTTAGGGTCAGTAGAGGCTGATGTCGCAGCCTGTGATGCACCAGGCAGGGCCGGCTGTTCTGATTCATTTTGAGTGCAGCAGAGCAAGCCCTGGTATTGAAGAGAAGGACGGTGGAGAGAGCGAGGGACTGAAGGATGGACAGGCAGACAGACGGATGAAAAAGCAGGGGAGGTAACTGCCAGTAGTCGTAGCAGTTCATTTACCCCTTCTGGTTCTAAAGCTGGCCAGTCTCTTCATGTAGGTGACAGTCACGTCCAAATGCACGTGTGAAAGTGCAGAGGGAGGACTCAGGAATGTCCGCTCTGAGAACTCCAGGGAGGAAGGGTTTGGTGAGCAGCATCCGTGGCTCTGCGGCTGCTGTCTTCCCGGGTCCTCTCCACACCCCTGTGGCTGGTGCCTGAAACAGGGGAGTCCTCCTTCTGCAGTCAGTCCTGAGCGAGGAGCCCCCTGCCCTGTGTGATGCCTTGTTTTCCCCTGGCCCAGTCCACTGAGGACAGTATCAGTAGGTCCGTTTCATGTCCACTGAGGCAGCAGGCACAGGACCCCAGCTACTCCCTGTTGGCACCCGTCATTAAAAGCCCTACAGTACTACAGCTGCGCCAGGAGGATGACTCTGTGTCTGATTTATTAGTTTGACATGGAACACCTAGTTTGTGCTCAGACAAATGCCTGCCCACTCCGGCGGGCCTTAGGCTCAGGTGGATGGGGTCAGACAGAGGCACCGTGGTGACGGGAGCTTGGGTTTTACATGGGGCTGTCAGGGCAGGCACCCTAAAAAGACGGCTGGGGAATAGAGGCCTGCAGGAAGTGAGAAATGAGCTTCAGGGACATCTGAAGAAGGAGTGACCAGAAGGGGGAGCAGTGAGAGCAAGGCCTGAGGTGGGTGCGGGCTCGGGGTTGGAAGAGGAGGAAGCGCAGTGGAAGCCGGTGGTGAGTCAGGGCAGCAGCAAGGAGTAGTCGGCCAGGGAGGGGTGGGGAAGGTGCTGGGCCTGGTCTCCCACGGGGCTCCCTCTACCCCTCTGCTTGCTCTTTCAAGTGAAGCATGCTTTGGAGCTGCCCTTGGCCCCCTCTTCCTCGAGCCCTGCGTACCCATCTGCATGGACCCAACCCCACCTACACTGTTTCTTTCAGCTGTGCCCTGAGCAACGTGAAGAAGGTGTCCCTGGAGCTCGGTGGGAAGTCACCCCTCATCATCTTTGCTGACTGTGACCTCAGCAAGGCTGTGCAGATGGTGAGGGCCGGCCTGTGGGGTGAGGGAGCGAATAGGGAGCGATGTGGGGAGGAGGCTTTCTCTGATTCTTCAGTCAAACTTACACATTTAACCTAAACTGTGGTGTCACCACAAGCATAGACTGTGGCTGGGAGGGGTCTTGGGGACAAGGAATGACGTGTACCCTCTAAAGCCAGTTTCCCAAGAAGTTTCATAGCTGTAAGGATAACGGGAATCAGCCTCCTGGATCGGGAAACGCGCTGGAACCAGCGCAGCAACCTTTCCTGCCCCAGAAAAGCAAGGCAGAGCCCTGGACCCGGGCACAGCCCTGCTGACAGCGATCTACCCCAGCCTTCGGCTGTGTCCACACTTGCCCAGCTCTGCCACAGGCTCACTGGGCAGCCTCGGGCAAATTGCTTAACCTTCCTAGGCCTCTGTGGTCTCACGTGTACCATGGGAGGATAGTAGACCTCCCTCCTATGGCTGTTACAAGGATTAAACGAGCGGTTATGCCTGAAGGACTTATGATGGTGGCTGCACGTGGCAGGGGCCATGCGTCAGTTCTTCTTATGTTAGTATGGCCCCCTGTCATTGTTATGCCTCAGTCAGTCCCCTGGCTGAACAGTAAGGCCCCGTTCAGCCAGGCGCCCAGATATGCCCCCACCCCCTCTCAGCCCTATTGTACTGTGGAGGGCAGGGGTCCTCAAACTACGGCCCGCGGGCCACATGCAAATACAAATATTGTATTTGTTCCCATTTTGTTTTTTTACTTCAAAATAAGATATGTGCAGTGTGCATAGGAATTTGTTCATAGTTTTTTTTTAAACTATAGTCTGGCCCTCCAACGGTCTGAGGGACAGTGAACTGGCCCCCTGTTTAAAAAGTTTGAGGACCCCTGGTGGAGGGTGATGTGACACTCAGCACGGACACGGGAGGGAGCCCAGCCTCACCAGATGGGGAAACCAAGGGAGACCAGCCCCCCAGCTCAAGATCTTGGCCCAGGATCTGGGGCCAGGCAGTCCCAGCTTTCAGGAGAGCCGCGCAGCCAGCCTCTTGCCCTTCCCCTGGTCCCCCACATGGAGCTCCTCAGGTCCCCAAAGCAGGCTCCCCTGGGCCTGTGTGCACACTTATCCTGGACTCCTGCCAGGAGTTCCCTCAGGCTGGGCTGGCAACCCATCCCTTCCACGGCGGGCTGGCTGCCTGCCTTTGCCCACCCTCTGCTGCCCGCTCCATGCTAACAGACTTGCCAGGCTCAACTCCAAGGGTGTGGGCTCTGACTCCCCTTGAGTCACCCCAGGGAGCCCATCCAGTGTGCAGGGTCCCCAGGCTCACTCCACTTCGCTTCCTCTTCTCCTCCACTCTCTGCAACATGGACACAGGCCTTGTCCCCCAGGGCAGGTCACCCTTTGCCTCTCCTCTCAAGGTGACTGAGGAATGGGGACAGTGCATGTGCCCAGCACTGGCTGGGCCTGGCCACCTCAGGAGGCCAGGACACGGGCATTCCTCCCCTTTCCTGTATGAAGCGGGTACCGGTGCCCACTGGGAGTGGAGAGCTGGCACCTCTGGGAGCAGCTGTAATCCAGCATTCTTGTCTATGTGCCGAAGGGGATGAGCTCCGTCTTCTTCAACAAAGGCGAGAACTGCATTGCAGCGGGCCGGCTCTTCGTAGAGGACTCAATACACGACCAGTTTGTGCAGAAGGTGGTAAGTTCCGCCACTGGGCCTCAGCGGTGCTGGTGCATCAGCTGCAGGGGCTGGGCCAGGTGGAGCTGGGCACCAGCCACCTGGAACAGGGGAGCTGTATCGAGTTTCACTGGATTTTATTATTTTAGAAACCCAGCAGCTGAGATTGACATAAACACAAAGGGTTTATCTTGGGCCAGGTCCCTAGCAGTGGAGCCTGAGCCAGGAATCCATGTGGCCTACCAAAGGTGAGCTCTCACACGAAGCCTGGGAGATGCCAGGGTCAAGGAGGGAATGGGGACGGAGGACGTGGTCTAGGGTGACGTCCAGGCTTGGCCTGACCCACAGACAAGAGATTTGGAGCACAAGTGACACCACGCAGGTGTGCCCCTGGGGTTGAGGGGCCAGGCTTTTGTCTCCTGTCAACAGTTGTTGACTGTGGCCTGTCCACCGGCTGGAGGAGGCAGCCCCTGTCAGCTCTGAGACCTGTCAGCAGCCACCTCTCACGGCCGCTGCGGAGGAGGTGCCCACAGTAAAGGGGATGGGTGGGGGCTGACAGCATCTCCTACCTTCTCACAGCATAGATACAGAAAGGAGAATCACTCTTTCCCCAGCAATGCTGTTGGAAAAGGCTGTAGGGAAGAGTGCGGGCTGGTGGCTCCGGGTCTCTGGTCCACCCGGATCCATTCAGGCCTAGCAGGGCGTGGGGACCTCTGGTTGGCTCAGCTTCAGCCAAGAGCCCCTCTGCCCTTCGTGTCATGGAGAGCAAAATCGAATCCCAGTGGATGCGAAAGGGGATGCTGGGGGCACAGGCTCTATGTGCAGGTTTAAACAAACTGTGTTTAGGAAGCGAGGACAAGAGAGAGAGTAGGCTGGGGAGAGGGTGGGACTGCTGTTAGGAAGGCGTTCCTGGAGAAGATCTTGAATACTTGGGTGAAAATGGGAAAGGTGGTGAAGAAAGGGACTGATTTTCTAAAAGGGAGTGTAACAGCTTTGGGGAGTGTAACTACTCCCAAACCTAGTAGCTGGAGATGACAGCTGCTCACGCAGCCCACGCTCCTGTGGGTTGGCAGAGTGGACACCAGCCCAGGTTCGCCTGAGCTTGTCACACATCTGCGGTGAGTTGCCAGGTCAGCGGGAGCACTTGGCGACTACGTTGGGTGGCTCATCCTTGTCCTTGCGGTTCTCTCTGTTCTGCAGTTTGTGCTCGGGCACGTGCAGGGCCCATGGCAGGACTCCCGGAGCGAGAGTGGAGCTCACTCAGCTCCACTGGGGGAGGGCAGGGCTCGGATTCCCAAATGCAGGGAGTGAGCTGCACATCCAGGAGACGCCCCAAGGTTGCTCTTGCTGTCCTGGGGAGACAGGGGAGCAGTTGGGTGGCCAGGCAGGAGCAAGCGAGGCCCCCCGACTTGGGGACTCTGCAGGACCGTCAGAGGAGCTAAGGGGCCCTGGCCGGAGGGCAGGGGTTGGGGACTGAATGCCTCCTGCATCCTATTAGGCTGGGCTGGGGGTATGGAGCCTGCACAGGAGTGAAGTGGCCCTGGCTACAGAGGAGGAGGCCAGTCGGGCCTTACCTCGAAGAGGCTACAGTTAGGGCAGAGATGTCCTTGCTCCGTCTTAGGAAACCAAGGAAGGAGCTGGGGAGCGGGTGACAAAAGTGGGAGATGCTGACTCTAGCCTAGAGCCCTGACTATCCGGTGCTGCCCCTCCACCCCCACATGATGGCTATGTTCACCTGAATTCCTTTTCCTATCACAGCATCCCACACCCCGATCTTTTCTGTCCCTCTCCATCCCAGCCCCAGAATCGGCAAATACATCTGGTATACCCCTTGAGGAGACCCAGGTCATCTCTAGGTAGCAAAGCCCAGACCTACTCGTATGTTGGCTTCCTGGAGAAGGGGGCCTTCAAGTTCGATTCTGAAGCAGGCAGAAGTGGGGGTGAGGGGGGTGGACTCAAGGCCCAGGGTTCTCCATTCCACTCAGCGCCTGTCCCACCTTGTTACCAGGGCCTTGCATATACTGGACTCCCGGGATAAGCCTTCCTTCAGCTTCTTAGTCCGTGAAGCTGGGTGCAGGACCAGTGTAGAGACTGTGCTGCCCCCAGCCCAGCCTCCCTCACTCACAGGCACACCTGCCTCTCTTTTCCATTCACCCATATCCCTGCACAACTGTGTTTCCCAGTCCATCTGACACTGGGCTCAGGTCTCCTTGCACGTAGCATACTGGATTTCAGCCTGGGAGGCAGGCTGGGAACAAGAATATGGAATGTCCTGAGTGCCAGAAACTGGCGTGTGGACTTTCTTTAAAAATATATATATATATATTTCTTTATTGATTTCAGAGAAGAAGAGAGAAGGAGAGAGAGATAGAAACATCAATGATGAGAGAGAATCATTGATTGGCTGCCTCCTGCACGTCCCCCACTGGGGATCAAGCCCACAACCCAGGCATGTGCCCTTGGCCGGAATCGAACCTGGGACCCTTCAATCCGCAGGCCGACGCTCTATCCACTGAGCCAAGCCAGCCAGGGCGCGTGTGGACTTTCTTCAGGGGCCACTGGTTGGTCCTGAAAATGCAAACATGGGAAGGGGGTCAGTTACTGAGCAAAGTCAGAAACCGCAGCCGCTGAGTGAGACCTGACTGGGAGGACTTTCCGCAGGTAGAAGAGGTGAAGAAGATGAAGATTGGCAACCCTCTAGACCGGGACACCAACCATGGGCCGCAGAATCACCAGGCCCACCTCCGGAAGCTGATAGAGTACTGCCAGCGCGGCGTGAAGGAAGGGGCCACTCTGGTCTGCGGTGGGAATCAAGTCCCTCGGCCAGGTCAGTCAGAGCACTGCTGGCCCACTTGGGCAGACTGAGGCGGCAGGCAGCATGGCCTGTGGTTTCTTGCTCAGCTCAAGTAGGAGGTATGTGAAGGCCTGGTGCCTGCACAATCAGACTCCCAGGTCTCAGGCCCCATCCAATCTCTTGGATGGGGTGGTCTTGGCTAGTTGGACACCTGCCAAACCAGGTGTGGGACTGGCAAGGTGAAGGCTGGTTTAATCTATATTGTAGTGGACTCTGACTTACCACTAACGTCACTGCATCCTTGACATTCTTTCCTCCCGTGGGTTCCATGGCCCTGGAGTGCATGGTTTTCCCATCTTTGGCCATTACTTCTTGGCAGTTGCTCTTTGCTGGATGCTCCCTCTTAAATGGAGGTAGATCCCCAGGTCTGTCCTGAGTTTGAAGCACTTCTCATGTTAGACACTTTTCCTAGAGCAGTGGTCGGCAAACTGCGGCTTGGCAAACCGCGGCTCGCGAGCCACATGCGGCTCTTTGGCCCCTTGAGTGTGGCTCTTCCACAAAGTACTGACTTTTGCGCATGGGCCACGAAGTTTCAATCGCACTGTATGTGCGCGCCTGCACGTGGTATTTTGTGGAAGAGCCACACTCAAGGGGCCAAAGAGCCGCATGTGGCTCGCAAGCCGCAGTTTGCCGACCACGGCCCTAGAGGACCTCACTCTCAGCAATGGCTCGGATGCTCCCAAATATCTGTCTCCAGGCTCCTCCTCACTCAGGATTTCTGACCACCTGGACACCTCCACCTGCATGTCCCCCAGGCCCTTCAAACTCAAGGGTACCAAGTCCATCACATCATCACAGCGGCCCCAGAACCAACCTGATCCCAGACACACACACCAGTATCTCTAGAACCTTCCATTTGATTAAGTCAGCAGAGCCAGAGGGGCCGGAGCCACAGGTATGGAGTGTTTGCGCTGCTTCCCCTTAGACTGCCTGCTCCAGGGGCACAGGAGCGCATGTCACCAGAAAAACCCAAGTCTTTGTCATAGTCTGGAGCTTCTGTGCTGGTCTTGGACAGACTTGGACCCCAATGTCAGCTTTATCATAGACCAACTCTTAGCCTCATTGTCCTCAGCGCCATTTAGTTGAAAGGGTTGTGAGGCTGAAGTGAGCTCACATGTCTGGGACAGGAAAGCCATGCACAGAGTGTGGCATCACCGTACAGGTATCACACATGGCATTGCTGGAGTGGGCTGTGCGTGTGGCTGGCGGGACCCAGCCTGGAGGGGAGAGGCTGCTGGAGGAGGGCTTCCCCATGCCGTGGGCCTCTGTTTCCCCCACAGGTTTCTTTTTCGAGCCAACCGTCTTCACGGACGTGGAGGACCACATGTTCATAGCCAAGGAAGAGTCCTTCGGGCCTGTCATGGTCATCTCTCGGTTTGCCGATGGGTAGGGAATCCTGCTTTTGTCTCTCAAGAGCCTGATGCCTTGCCACGTGTTACCGGTTCTCCACATGAGCTTGTGGGAACTCAGGAGGGGAACTCAGACAGGTGGGGGGCTGTGGATGCAGCCCGGCTGCCTGCCGAGGCCGCGTCAACCACTGAGGTGAGGAGAGCCCCAGGGCACTGGCAGGGCTTTGGGTCCCCAAGTGAGCATTCCTCAGCCTTTGGATGTCTCTCCTGGTGTGTTTGGGCTGTGTCCTCATCATCTACTGCCGTGTAATAAGCCACCCCAAGACAGTGGCTTGGAATAGTGACAGTTATTTATTTCACTCGTGAATCTGCAATCGGGTTAGGGGCTGACCGCCTCTGCTCTGTCCCAGGTCCAGGACTCAGTGGCGATACCTGGAGTGGTTGTCTTTGAGTGGGTCCTGCCTCCCTGAAGGCTCTCTTCCCCATGGCAGCCTCAGGGCCTCCCACACTGAAGCTGGGTGGATGTTTCAAGGCTTCCCAAGACCCATTGATCAGCCTCAGAAATCCTAAAACCTAATTTTCACCATGTTCTTTTGGCCCAGCAACTCACCAAGCCAGCCTGGGTTGAAAGGGAGAGGGATTGGACTCTGTGGCCATATTTGAACTACCACACATTCTTTTTATGGACTGTTATTTTTCAGAGAAGAGCCTTTGGATAGATTACAAAATGACATCTCCTCCTAATGCACTATACTTTCAAAAAATTATAAAAATTACCATCACATTCTGATTGTATTAGAATAAGATGCTTTTCTGCCATCTACCGAGCAAATATTGTGCTAAATCTTCAAGGGACACCTGGACATGGCTCCTTGGGGGATACCCAATGCATCTGCACTTCCCTGTGTGGTGGGGGCCTCACCAGCCTCCTCCGGGCCCCTCTCCCCCTGTCTGTAAAGTGAGGGACTCGCCCTTGGTGACCCGAAGGGTCCTTGTGAACGACTGTGTGCAAATCCAACTCTGTCCTTCCTCTTCTCTTTAACTTTGTCCCCTTCTCTCTGCTGCCCTGTCTCCTCCACGTCTCTCCTCAGAAGGTCCTGAGTGGTGGGAAACTTGGAGGGGGCCAGGCTCCCCTTGGGGGAGAGGATGCAGGTCTCCCTGAATCCCGTATCCAACGCTGTCCTCCTACCCTCCTTCACCAAGTTCTTTCTGGATTTTCCCTGCAGCGACATGGACACTGTGCTGTCTCGGGCCAATGCCACAGAATTTGGCCTGGCCTCTGGCGTCTTCACCAGGGACATCGGCAAAGCCCTGTACGTCAGTGACAAGCTGGAGGCAGGCACCGTGTTCATCAACACGTACAACAAGACCGACGTGGCCGCTCCCTTCGGAGGCTTCAAGCAGTCTGGATTTGGCAAAGACTTGGGTAACCTAACCCTAAACATCTGCTTTAAGCCACTTGGTGCCAGGCCCTGTCCCTGGGGGCAAGGGTGTAACATTGAAAGATGGTTGTTGACGCTCACTTCTTACTGGGAAGGGACAGTGATAATTCAGGCAGTAAACAAGATCCTTCTAGGAAGTGAGGGATGCTGGAAAGCAGACAAGTCCGGGCGAGGAGACTGGGAGGGCAACTTTAGGCAGGGACCTTGGAGGGCCTGTCTGAGACCCCAGTGGTGGGAGGAGCCATAACGACCTGAGGATGTGTGTTTCTGGAAGAGGGGAGGCAGGTCCTGAGGGCATCAGCTTTGGTCTCGGAGCTGCAGAGAGAGGCTGGTGTGGGCGAGGAGGGCGGGGGCGGGCGGGGAGTACGGCAGGAAGAGAGCAGGCCCAAGGGGTAGGCAGGGGCCACATCAAGGGACCCAGGGGCCACAGACAGGCCTCGGGCTTCATCCTCAGAAAGAGGAGAAGCCACAGGGCCAAGTGTGCCCAGTGGTACAGTGTGAGTCCCTAGTGTAGAGACAAGGTCATTCTACAAGCAGAAAGCAAGCCGGGCCTGACCTGCCGGGAAAGTGGAGTTCTGCTCCAGCACCCTTTCTCCCTGGGCTACCGTGTAACCTAGGGTGCGGCCCACTCCCCCATCCTGCCACTCCGGAAGCCAGCAGTTGGGGACCATAGCTCTGACGCCAAGCTTGGCAGGGAGCAAAGGTATGAGAGAGCAGCACACTGTCTCTGAGAAGCCTCCAGCCCTTCCGGCCTCCCCTGCCCAGCTCAGGGTCTCCAGGGAGGTTCAGGCTGAGGCTGAAACCAAAGGGTAGTTACAATTTTATTTTTCCTTCCCTCCCTCTTTCAAACCCTGAGGAAAGCTCCAAGGGCTCTCATGAAAGGGCCCAGCAATACTCCCCAAGCCTGACTGTCTAAAAATACTATGCATGCAGAACCGGGTGCACATGTGCACACACACGCATGCACATGCATGCTGATCACCTCTGCCCCCTCTGTCCTTGCCTCCCCTGGCCTACCTTCCTGGTGTCCTCCACAGAAATCCACAAGGACCATCATCCTCCATGGAGGCCACGGGTCCCCAGGATAGGATCTCTGTCACTTATAAGTCTGCCTCCTGCACCCGTAGACCTTCCTCCCACTGTCCCTGTGTCCTGTGCCCACAAACCAGCCCTTCCAAATAGCTCACCTGGGATGGGCCAGAGACCTCAGTGGGCCTCAGCTGGTGGTGAGAACAGCGTGGGCAGCAGCATCAGGAAGCTTGGCTTCTGGAGTGAGCGCCTTAGCAGGTGGGGGAGTTGTCAGGCAGCCACAGGCCTCTCATGCTGGGTGTGGGGCTGAAACACACCAGCCACATAGCTCAGCCAAGTTCCAGGGGTCCCAGGGACCCTGTGAGGCACCCCTTCTCCCAGTCCCAATTTGATCTGGATTAGCTGGGAGGCATCAGTGGAGAGGCTGCATACCTGGGTAATAGGAAGGCACCATGAGGGCCTCTGGGCTGCCCTAGAGCTGATAAGGCTCCCCCCCCCCCCGCCCCCACTTAGGCAGGTGGCTGGAGCTGGGGAAGTCTCTGGAACAGTGACCTCAGATTGGTTCTGTATTCTGATGCCTGTTGGGACCCGCCCCCCGCCCCCCGCCACACACACTTACTCATGACTACCCTGGGCCTTGGTTTCTTACCTGAACCTGAGGCTGAGTCAGACCCCACTCACTTGCTGCAGGTTTTGTGAGATAATATGCGTGCAGGAGGTACTCTGATGATGATGGTGCTGTTTTGCAGGAGAGGCGGCCCTGAATGAGTACCTGAGGGTCAAGACGGTTACCTTTGAGTACTGAAGAAAGGTCTCGTGCGAAGAAGCCTCCGTCTCTTCCACAGGTTGACCTGCCTCCCCTGGCAGCCCGATTGTCCTTCTAGCCCCCTCCTGAGTACACAGCACCTCCACCAAACTGGCTGGTGGAAGCCTGCTGCCTGCAACCCCTGTCCCTGTCCGGCACCCCATCTCCCCAACCCCAGTCTAATCAGACAACATTTGGCTACTGAGGAAGTGGCTCCAGGGCGAATAATGTTCTGACCAGCAGCAGCCAGCACCTGTGTGACTTCCCTGCCCATCTGGGTGTGCCCTGGGGGGCCCTGCACATCCTGGCACACAGTGTGGCTTCGGGCCCGGGAGAGCCAGTTGCTGTGGGGAGAGACACAGAATTGAGAAATGGGTGTGTGTCAGCTCCAGTCTCAGGAAGCAGGTGCTGAAGAGGAGTTAAGAGTTTGAGAGGCCTCATCCCAGACACCAAGGGGAGGAAGCAGGAAGGGTTGAAGAAGCTCAGACTCTGATGCAGCAAATCCGGCCTGTGTGGGAGCCGCCCCAGGGCAGAGAGGCCTCAGCTGATCGCTGACCAGAGGACACTGCAGCGGGCGGGGGCCCCTGGACCACCGTGGGGTTGTTGCCCCAGACTGGCATTTCAGTGCAGGGGCGATGCTGAAAGGGGTGGTGGACCTGCCTTAACACAGTAACTTACATCAGACCAGACAAGTCTCACCTCTGCCCCTTTTCCGGGTCCACGTTGTTTTGCCTCAAACACCCCTAGAGCCAGGGCATCAGCAGCGGAGCCCAACGAATGCAGCTGGCCCTCAGCCGGTTCTTTCATGCTCCTCCCAGTGGGAAGCATTTGGAGGGGTCAACCCTGGCCTCCCTGCAAACAGCCCTTCACAGCAGAAGAGCAGGGAATGCCTCGAGCAAACCCTAATCCCAAACCAAGCCAAGAAACACTGTCCCCCCCTCTTCAGACACACACATAGAGCTTGGTTTAGCCAGGGCGCCCACGATAGTTCTACCTGAGACCTCTGGTTTAGATACACAAGTCTAGGCTCCGAGTCTTCTCCCCCTTTATTTTTTTAAATCCAAAATGTGTTTATGGGATGGTTCCCCAATCATCTTGACCCGAGGTGCTTTCGTGCTGCTTCCTCCTGAAGGAGCGTCCCCTGTAAGCCGTGCTTTTCCTCCTGTCGTCTGACAGGGGACAGTGGGGCAAGAAACACACAGAAGGCCGTTGGTGCAGGGCTGAGCCGGGGGTGATTGTATAGCACCTGAGCGTTTCACAGCCATGAGGTAGGGACCTGGCTCAGCACCAGGCGCCTCTCCTGTGCTTCCTCTCCCCTTTCTGGAGCGGGTGAAGGCTCCTCCTCTGAGAGGAATGCTTGTCATGGGGTGGGGGTGGGCCTCGTCAACGGCCAGAAAAGCTTCTTTTTCCCTCTTTGCAAATTTCCTGAAACTATAAGTATTAATTTAAAAACCACCCA